CTCTCACCCTCTTTCCCCCTCCATCTTACCCTCTCCCCCTTCCACCACTTGGCGTATAACTAACCCTTCACCACTCACTTGTTACATTGTTAGGGAACGAACGGTGAAAAGTATTTGTCCTCACTTGGCGGAGAAAGTGGGCAAGGGGAGGGTTGCCGGTCCCTTGTGCCGCCAAGAAGGAAAAGGAAAAGACACGTGAGCAATTAAGAGGATTCAAGTCCGGAGAAAGAACTAGACCAAGTTGGTACTTAAAGCAAGGTCAATTGACTCAACCATTTCCCCGAGAAGAGGATGGATTGATTGAGCAAAGGAAGGATAATAAAGAGAAGCCAAAGAAAAAGAAAGTTAGGCATGCGGGAAGGGCTATGTGTTGATCCCGATGGGGGGATTGTATCGATCTTTGCTTTTGTGTGGGATTGTGCAGGTGAGTAAGCCTTGGGATGCCTTGAGCGGGACCAGGCCGGGAAAACCGGGCGGCAAGGAAAAAGGGAAGAGGGGGAGAAGGGGCTAAGGGGCCTTAGTGTAAAATCGATCCATGAGAGATACCTTCGTGCATAAGACTTGAACTGGGAATGAAAGAAAGGAGCGAGACTTTTGCTGATTGGAATGTGAAGTAGTCGGTGCATGCGTATGACGGCCCCGAAAGGACTAAGGGGCCTGCTCCAAAAACGATGGACGGAATGTATGAGACACGAGGAGTGCGTAGAGGCGTTGCCGCACCCCGATGACGCCGTAGGATTGTTGTGTTTAGGGAAATGGTGTGTGGCCTAAGGATGACGCTTGGCCTGCGCACAAAAGAAGAGAAACTCTCAAAGAACCCTTGGACTGCCTGCGTATTGGAAGGAGCATTTGCTTGAGAATACAACCAAGAATCAAAAAAAAAATCAGCGTTTGTGGAATGACCGGCGAGACTGCCACCCGACACGGGGGCTGAGCTACATCCCCAATGTCAAAGATCTCTCGCTCGACGGCCCACCCTCATCCATCTCAAAGCACTAGGTGGGGGTGACCCTGGGACGAACGGCCCGCGCCCTGAGCATGAGCGTGGGCGGGCCGAGCCAACTGGGACCACAGGGGGGGTCGACCAAGGCTCGAAAGTCTACCGGGGTTTGGGCTTACAAAAATGGTGGAGATGACGGTCATGGGGTTAAATTGACCCTTGCGATTCCGAGGGGGGCACCCTACGCATGACCGTGTACACAACCAAAGAGAAAGAAATTGGACTTGGGCTTGCTCTTCCCCTTGAGAGAATCAGATTGAGAGTGGTTGGGCGCATGGCATGGCCAGGCCTGGAGGTATAACATGCATGCTACACACTTGATCAGTTTTACTCCTTTGTGGAGTAGCTCTAGCCCCCTTCCGCCGGTGGAGCCTCGGGCAAATCGCAGGTTGACCCTTCCTCTTCGTGTGAAAGAAGGGCTCCGGTTACCTGGCAGGCGGTTGGCGCTTTGGCTTCGGCCGGAGTCCAATGAAAATCCCGCGGCGGAGTGATCCGGCTGATTGGGTGCCCTTCTCTCCTTTTCTTTTGAGCCCAGCGGGCTCATGCACTATATACTTGAAATGCTTGAAGGAACCTACATGAACACAAAGAGTCATAAAAAAGGAACAATCCTACCATATGAAAGGACAAACCAATAAAGATAAAGGAAACGAAGGGAGTTGCTAGACTCCAAAGAAAACTAGCTCCCGCTTGAAGACGCTAACGAAAAGGAACCAACCATTGTGTATGGAAGTAAGGGGATTGACACTCAATGTCCTAAGAGAAAACCGTGAGCTATGGTTAGGAAGCGTTGGGTGCACCAAAGGAAAGGCACTTGTACTATGTGTGTCCCACTTGGGACTTGTGATCTGCATGAGGGGATTTAAGTGTCCTGCCTTTCGGAAGGAAGGGATGGGTCTGCACCAGCTGGTGCGGGTTTCTATTGTAGTGCCACCAGGTCTCATATGCGGAGGTCAGACCACCGAGCTGACGGACAGGAGTTGGTCTCGCCGGTTGATTAGTAGCACTCCCAGGCGGACCGAGCATGACTCGGCACCTTGCCCAGGCGGGATGCGAAACGTCTCCTCAGGCGGGGTTTTAGCTTGTCGGCTGGCGGGGGGGGACCACTGTGTGTGGGGCAAGGAGGGAGCTCAGAGATGATTAGTAGCTTCTCGTAGTACGGTTTGGGAAAGGCTGATTTTTATCGGACCGATGGAAGTGAATGCTTGGACGACTGACTTTTGCTCCTAATGGGGTGCGCGGGGTGATTTCCGGTGCCAACGGGGTATGCAAGAGCGGCAAAACAGGATGGGGTATTTTGGGCGAAAGGAGAGGGGTAACGCCCTGTGCCGGAGCTTGGGTACCGCCCTCGCGACGGTTGAGCTGCGCTTGAGGTATGGGATAAAACTCTACCAAAAGTATCAGTGGAGAGACCATATTGGGGCAGGCCGGTGAGGAGATGACCGACCCGTATGTGAGATTGCCTGGATTTTTTTTTTTTTTTGTCCCCCCTCTGTAAAGATGGACTGAGGTCTGAACTGTTGGACGGGGCAGGAGCCGCATGCGCCACGTCGAAATGGCCACTTTGAAATTGCTCGGGCCTGTGCGAAACCCGCCACCTCAAAAACCTGCAGTGTCTTGTGTCTGGACCTCTAGGCCATGTCCAGTGGGGTGAAAGGACACTTAAAAATCACCCCGTTATTTTTCGAGGGGCGGCTAGGACCCGACAAACGTCCTGGGCCGCCCCATTTTTTTATTTTATTTTTTGCCCCAGGGGCCTCCATCCAGACATGGGGACCGGACACCGGATTGTCCGGAACCCGGTCCAGACGTCCGGGCGGTTACCATGACTCAAAGCCCAATAATATACACTTGAAAAAATTCGGGAATAAGCGGTTTCAACCGCTGCAACACTCCTTAGGTATGTACCTGACTCCCTCCTCCTTCCACCTTTTTCTCTCTCGCTCGCTCTCTCTTTATGCTCTCCTTCTCTCTCTTTTTCACTTGCACTCTTCCTCACTCACTGTTCCTCACTCACCGTTTCTCACTCATTGTTCCTCTCTCTACATTGTCCCAGATCTACCCTGAATGCCTCTATGGTGTGTCTCACTGCAAACGGGCGGTTACAGTCAAACACTTCGTCTCCTCCCTCCTGGCTATGGTGGTCTGTTGCAGCCAGGGTGCTGGTCTTCTTCCTCCCTTCAGCGTTCTTCTTCGTCCAGGTCGTTAGCCTGCACAAGCTCCCAGCAGCGCTTCCACAAATTTGTGAAGACCAACTGACTCCTCCGGCACTGTAGTCCAACATATATAGTTGTAGTGGACTGTTTCGTGCCTGCTTTAATCCGTACTAGCCTCCTTCAGCCTCTGCCTTGCCAATTGCTATTTTGGGAAATTTCAGGACTTTCTTATGAGACTGCTGCAAAATTTTACTTTTGGGGACTTGATGTGCTCCTACCGGTACTGTATGGTACTGTAGCCTACCGACCTACGGTGTCTGATCCTACAGGCCCTAAGACTCTAAACAATTGGGGCCTGGACTGTGGTAATTAGGGACCCTAGAACTGGGACTGGGAAAGCGTACAGCGTGAATCCATTCACTCCCGCCGGCCTAATTTTGAGGTCCTTTGAGAAAAATCAGAACTTCAACGGTCACAGATGTTCAATCCTCGGCGTGCCCGCTCGTAATATGACACGATATGAGGGGCTGTCTGAACGAACTCCTCCCTGGTGAACCAGTGATCTTCGTTGGGATCCTGATAAGCAAATATGACCTTGGATTGTCTCTGCGGTCTCCCTCTACGACCTGTACGGAAGGTATCCTCAACTACAATCTTCTCTACATCATATCTTCGGTCCATATCAGGTGGAATCATATATCTGTCTGAGGGGAATGCAT